CCTAAGTAGGTTTTCAGGCTAGGCAAATCCTGCTTTGGACATCACTTTGAATATTTCCTTCCTCAAGAAAATAAAGCTTTATTATTGGGCATGATACTACTCCATCCCTATGTCTCTCAACCTATCCTGACATAGTAGAAAAAGATTGGATTTTAGAGCCAGAAGATGAACTGGGGCCTTGGGTCTACTCCTTCCTAGACTTACTATAATGGGCCCTTTAGTTTTCCTGTCTGTGTCTCAACTTTCTCATCTGCATAATGGGTATAATAATACCTATGCTGTTAAAGAAGTTGTAAAAACAAAACAACAATAAAATTACATGGAAAAATATAGCTAAGACAACACTGTGCTAGCAGCAATTAAGAGTTAATGGCAATGCCCCAGAGTCAGAGCTCCCAAAGAGTCTCGTGATGTCATATAGACACTGCCCTGGCACACCCACTTTATTTCCAAAAGTGACTCGTCTTATTAGAGAGTTCTAGACCTCCTCTCCCTGCCTAAACAGGCAGCGACTATAGCATTAGTGAGCCTACGAGTTATCACATTAGTGAGCCTATGAGTTTGAAGAAACAAACTCCAATTCTTTTAAAATTCCTGGCTAATAAGTATTTAACGGCAGGACACACTGGAACCAGCAAAACTCCAAACCCACACCCACAGCATCGCTAAAATTGTGCCCAAGGAGAACTTGGGGCCAGCGCCTAAACACTCAATGGATCAAAAAACTATGGTGCATTTACACAATGGAATGCTATGCAGCAGAAAGAAAGAAGGAGCTCCATCCCCCTGTAACAGCATAGATGGAATGGGAGAGCATTATGCTAAGTGAAATAAGCCACGTGGTGAAAGACAAATACCCTTATGATCTCACCTTTAACTGGAACCTAATCAACAAAACAAGCAAGCAAGCAAGCAAAACATATCCAGAGACATTGAAAGTACGAACACTCTAACAGCAACTAGAAGGAATATGGGAGGGGATTAAGGGGGGAAGGGAAGAAGGGTTTTCAGGAAGAAGTACAAAGGACGCATAGACAAAACCACAGGTGAGCTGGAATCAGGGCAGGGAGGTTGGGATGGCTGGGTTGCGGAGGGGAGTGGTAGGGGAAAAGGTAGACAACTGTACTTGAACAACAATAAAATAATTTTTAAAGTTCCAAAACAAAAACAAAGACTCAAGACTTCCTTCAAACAGCAAAAACAGTGCTACTATAGGTCCTAATGGAAAAACAGCACATCTAGCCCCGATGAGGGGGGAAAAAAACAATGTAGGAAAATAAAAAACTGAAACAGTAGCATGTTGCCAATACGAGACAAAGAGTCCGGGCTAACGGGAAGAAAGATTATTCACTGGGCCTCTCCCACACAGGAGGGACTGGGAGTTACATCAGAACACTCAACATGCCCTTTAAATAAACCTATAGGTAGACCTATAGACAGACCAAAAGACAAGTAGATATTTATACACCATGCATATTTTAAAGTGTGTAATTTTTCTGATTACAGAAGAAATCTATGTTCATCATAGAAAATTGAGAAAATGGAAAAAACATTACTCAGAACTTTCTACTTGAAGATAAATTGCTATTTGCCACTTTCTTTGGATATACATATTTTTTACAAATAGTGGTATCATACGGCATATACATGTTTTTATCTTTATTTCTCTTATAACAAGTATTCTTACAAGTCATATGAAAATGTTCTCTGACTATAGGACAATAAACAACTACAAACTGCTTCATCGCGAATATCTATCTATGTTACTGTAGGTAATTATGGTATAGCATAATTTGTAATTACAAATTACATAATTTGTGATTGCCTTTCGGCAAGTGAAAGACAGGGACAAAAAGAATGGAGATGTCTATCTGTCATGACCAGTCCTGCAAATAAGAAGTTAGGAGTCCAGAGCTGCTGTGGCAAGCTCCTCAGTGCCAGAACATGTGGCACCAATTCTAGGATGGATAATTGTTCCCCAAATCCCAGGTGGTCACCTCACCTGCATGGTCCAAGATGACCAACTGTTACCGTCCAGCACACAGGAAAAAAAAAAGGCAAAAGGGGAAGAAGGAAGGACATACCTGTATGGGGTCGTCCATTAGAAATTATACCTCACACCTGCTCATAGTCTGTTGGCAGAACTGGACCACGTGGCAACACCTACTTATAAGAGAAAGCCGTACAACGCAATTAGCTGCCAAAATTCTGGGTAGCCAGAAACCCGTTACTACAGCAGAGAAGGGAAGATTACGGATCCTGAGGAACCACAAGGTTCCTGCTACTCACACAGGGTTCTCATGTCATAACGGGCAGCTCGTCACTCAGAGTAATCCTTCCTCTCCTAGTGCTAAGATTCTAAAGTGAGGAGTACCTCCATGTTTTCTAGTATAAAATATTGGTTTGGGTAATCCTTGCTAAATATTGCAGTCAAGATTCTAGAGGCCACAGTGAAAAAATTCAGATAATTTGTAAAATTTGCAGATTCTCTTGTGTTGTTAATAAAGAGAAGGTTATTTTAATAAGACTATTTACTTTCAGGTCTAAAAATATATAAGTGTTTTATACACACCGAAAAACTGTATAAATTATTATTTTCCAATTTCCATTCCAAAATTTACCCCGATATTTCATCTTTATGCTCCTGTCTCTCTGGAACCATAGCGCCATCGTTCCAACTGAGAAAAAGAAAACCCCGGGTTCTCCCGGGGATATGTGCAGTGCCCATCGACTTAATGCGTGACTGCACACGGGATGGTGTAAACTCACCAAAAGTCAGGCACTCCCACCACCAGCCCCACCGCTCCACCTGGCTCCCTCTGGATTCCACCGTCACATGCTGAGGCGATCTTTAGTAAAGCTGCACCCGGGCTGTGTTAATGCCACTATTTAGAGCTTGCTTTTTCTAAATGTGAAGATCAAGTTGGCTTTGATTAAGAGAGTCACGAACTGGTCAGCAACCCATCAAGTAACTAGATGGGTACTCTCTGGAACTTGCTTTCGACCTTGACTTTGGGCTAGCCACCTGGATTTGAAGATGCTTGGAACTAATTGAGCTTCTTTAATACTAATCACTTCCCTCCACCTAACAACTCTGACCCTTCCCTTCTTTCTAGGGAAAAAAACTAGAAAATCAGTCTCCATACTGTTTTCCAAGACATGGCAAAAACCAAAGTGTCCATCAACAGATGGATAAAGAAGATGTGGGATGTATGTATATGTGTGTGAGTGTGTGTGTGTATGTGTATGTATGTGAGTGTGTGTATGTATATGTGTTCATATATACATAGCTCAGTTACTATCACCAGCAAGTTGAGGACAATTTTTATGTGCATCGGCCACAATGTACATCTATTTTCTTTCACTTTTTTCTTTGTTCCGCTTTCTCTCTGAAAGTTCCCTTTTGTCCTTTCCACTTTTCACTCTCTGGTGATGCTTTTTTTTTTAAGCCAATCCAGGGACTCCCAGTGCTGAGTCCTTACACAGAACACCTCAGCTAAACCTCAAAAATTTAACTAAAATGTTGTGTGTCGGTCTCAGCCTATCGATAACCAAAATTGTGGCTGGACAGGCGGTTGAGTTCTTATTGTAACTGCAAGACACCTTTTAGGAAAAACCAGCAGAAAACTGTGCAATGATAAAGGTTTATTACTTAGAGAACCTGGAAGTCACACAGGACACTTGGGGTCACACAATGAGGTCACAGGCAGAGAATGAGAGAGAGAGGGACAGACAAAGAAGGGACCTAGGGTTCTGCTTTTACTGAGGTTGAGGGGTGGAGGCATAGGGTTTCTGAGGGTTCACTCTTTGGTGAATTTAAAACACAGGAGTGGGAATTTAAAGTACAGAAAAAGAAAAAGTGTGGCCCCAATGATCATTATTAAAACCAACCAAGATCTCTGAAACTAAGGAGCCTCAATGAGGGAGGTGGCCTCACTCTTGATCGAGTTGTGTGACTAGCAATGTAGTTATTCACTGAAGTGGATGCCTTACAATCCAAGCTTAAGGCAGGTTGTCCCCATGTCTTAACTACTGTAAACAATGCTACAATGAATATAGTGATGCATATATGTTTTCAAATTTTTGTTTTCATATTCTTCAGATAAATACCCACCAAAGGTACTGAGGGATTATTTGGTAGTTCTACTCTTATTTCTTTTAAGTATCTCCATACTGTTTTCTAAGATATGGAAACAATGAAGCATCCATGGACAGATGAATGTATAATGAAGATGTGGTACATATATACAATGGAATACTACTCAGCCATCAAAAGGATGAAATATTGCCATTTGCAACAATATAGATGGACCTTGAGGGTATTGTGCTAAGTGAAATATGTCAGACAGAAAAGTATGAAAACTACGATTTCACTGGTATGTGGAATATAAAACAAAAAAAGAAGCAAATGAACAAACAAAACACAACAAACTCGTGGGTACAGACAACAGATGGTGGTTACCAGAGGTCAGGGGGTTGTGAGAGGGTGAAATGGGTAAAGCAGGTCAATTATTTGCTCGCAGATGAGAACCAGTCATTTGGTGCTGAGCACACTGCAGTGTATCAGTCAACGGATTACAATATTGTACATCAGGAACTTACATAATGTTAATAACCACTGGCACCTCAATTTAAAAAAAAAGAAGAAGAAAAGAGCTTAAGTCAAGAACTTGAAGTACAAAAAAAAGATAAACAACTGTCAGGGCTTCACACTACATGTGAACTACAATGTATTGGTCAATTTGAGGAAACCTTCCATTATATTTCAGTAGCTGATAAAAAAAAATACCCCAAACAAATTCCTAATAGAAAGGGCCTAATTTTAAAATACTAGCAAAAATTTGAAGCATTAACTGAACTACAGGCAGATGTCATTGCTGCTCTGATTTCTACAATGCCTAAGATCATATCAGCAATTACAAATACGAAGCCCTCGAACTGACGGCAAAACTGCTAACAGAGAACAATCTTGCTCCCCAACTATGAAATGACTGCAGCCACTATTCCCTACTGATAGTCCACCATTTGTTGAAACACAGAATCTTCTTTGCTTTCGTTTTCAGTTTAGGATGCGTGACTATGATGAGAACAGAATGTCCTGGGTGGTAAATAGCGGACAGAACCATACACACAAATCTGGTTCCCAGATCCATCCCTGCAGAAGATGGGAGGTGGAGGGACAGGGCAGCCATGGAGTAGGGGATGTACAGGAGGAGGGAACAGACCATCAGCTTCATGGCACCCACGTGAGCTTCAGTCTGGGGATTCCAAAAGCCACTGGAGTTTCTCTGCATCGTCTGTATGTGCCTCCTCAAGGAGTTTATTAACAAGGAAGCAGAAGTCACATTAATGATGAACTGAAGAAATGAGCTCAAGAACAAAGAGATCACCAAAGACAAGATGTGCTCATGGCCACTGAATTCTGTGCCATTCCTCCCGGTCGCGAATTCAGGAAACTGTAGCGTCCACCTGAGCACAGCATACAGAAGGGTGGTGAAGGTGGAAATCAGCACACAGGCCAGCAGCAGCCTCGGGGTCCTTGAGGAGAGATTTTGTTTCAACAGGAGAAAAACTGAGTACTGCAAGTTGGTAATCTTCACACAGTACAGAACATTGAGCATGGTTACAAACCAGAGACTGCTGGAGTCCAAAAACACCCAGCACAGCAGGACCGCAAACAGGTTGACTGGCCTGACATGTGGAAAGGTGAAGTGGCAGATGATGGCCAGGACAGAAAGAGCCAACGTAAGACATCTGGTGATGGCCAAGCTGAACATGATCTTATCAGAAGGAGAGATTCGGTGGATTTTGACCCAAGTCTGGCAATTGACGACTGCGATAAACAGATTCACAATGAGTCCTACAAAATTCAAAGTTGCTGAAACAGTAACAGCAAAGAGTATCTCCGGCATCTTCTCTCCTTAAAGGGTTCAGTGGATGTGGTGCTGATGTTGAGAATAGGAGAAATACTGAAATGTACAAGGAGGCACCATATCCAGCCAGAAGGAACATTTCCTTTTTTTCATTTTCCCCAGTGTGGCAAATGAGCCATTAGTGGTCTAAGAGCCCGCTGCTTTTACTGAGATGCAAATCTTCCGAGGATCACATTACTCTCTCTTCACTGGTGCCCTGTTTTCCTTAGAAATGCCTAATTCAAACAGCCTGGGGGAACCTGGGAGTCCACTCCTCCAAGAGAAGGACAGCTGAAGGGGCAGTATCGGCAAGCTCCAAGGACATCAAACCCAAGTGACAGAGTTCCCATCCAGCACTGTTTCGGTCACTGTATCACAGTGAAGGCAGCTTTTCTTCACAGCAACCCCAGAACATGCCTCGTCCCATCCCATCCACCCCCATCCGCACACCCAAGAGTTGCCTGAATCCACCTGCTCTCTCCCCTCTGATCTGCTCATGTCACAGCAGCCATTCTGGCCGTGCCAATATTCCTCTTTCATCCCTTAGCACCTACTAAGTAACTGACAGCTGTCCAACAGATCAAGTTCAAGGACCTGAGGCATCCTTGAGAAAGTCTTTTTCAATTAATTCCACCCTCTCAGAATGATTCTCACTCTGCGTTCCCTTCCCAGTCACATAAAGGGATCGGGGCCATGCTCATTTGCTGCAATCTGCTTTCTCTTGGAAAAGAACTGCCAGCCATCTCGTGTTTCCTTTATAGATCTGGGTTGACGCTTGGCTCACACGTGGCTATTCCATCCCAGGCACTTAGCTGCCAATCAAAGTACTCTGGTACCAGATGCAACACTTTAGCTATAGTTTTGTGGACCAAATACACAGGCGTCTCATTGCCCGATTTCTCTGTAATTGCTCAGGGAGGAAAGGGTACACTATTTCGAGCAAATGATGTTATCGAAAACCCTGAGTGAACGCAAGAGTCTGGCACCTCTTGTCTACTCTAGCAGTCAGGTGAAACCACAGCACGACCCTGCATGAACCAGTCTAGGTCACCAAACCAGCATCATAAAGCATCCAAAGTCCTGTTACCAAACCGAGATAGGAAGGGGCAAGAAGAAGGAGGTAAAATATAAAGACTACTTGGTCCAGAAGAGGCAATAAATTCATGAGGCCCTTTCACCCGGATGACTGGAAGACAAGCCTTGGAGAACTCCTTGGACTGGAGCCCAACTGGTCTCTGGACAAAGAGCTCTTGGTACAAAACTAACAGGCACTGACAGGGGCAGACCCAGCTGAGTCACACAGAGCCGCAAGGCACTGATTAAAGGGAAGAGTATACATGTCACAAAGCACATATTTCCACTTAATTATCTGTAAAACAGACTACTGCTTTAAAGTAATGAAGTTGAAATATTATAAATACCACATTTAAGTAAAATGAATAACATACAGTAAGATATTAAATTAAATTTTCCCCAAACGGGGGATGGGGGGTGCCCACTATGGGCAGTGACTGACTGCTTTCAGAGTGTGACACACCAGGTTTGGGGTTCTCAGTAGCCGGGGAGACTACAGTTATGATATGATCATGTCGTTAGTATGATCAGTTGAGTAGGCTGGTTCTGTCAGAAGCCATTTCTGAAAGAGTCAACATAGGAAAGGTGTTAAAATCCTTTCTTCCTCTGCATGAGCATCTGACCTTCAGCTAAACATAAATATCTCATAAAGACCCCTGTTTCTGACCCCCTAGAAGTGGTGGCTCTTCTCATGAGTTTGTCCCTTAGCTCAACCCCAGAAGCTATGTCTGCGAAATCATCCCTAAAAATAGTGGCTCCTTTGGTACAGGCAGGTTTTGTTTTAGGGGAGCTCCTACCCTTCCCTGCAGGGAAACCTTAAGGGCAAAGAGTCAAAGCAAAAGAGTGACCTAGCTTAACTTGATGAAGCACTTCAAGGTTCTTTTTGAAAAGTAAGAAATGGGAAGATGAATCTAGATAGGAAACAAAGGGCCAAATAAGGAATGGCTTTATGTTCCAAGCTAAGAAGTTTGGGCTTTAACCAAAGCAATAAAGAGAATTGCAGGACTTTAAGAGAGGAGTATTATGATGCCTTTTCACTGTGTGAAGAACATAATCCAAGTAACATAAAAAGGTTTTGCTGGAAAGGGATGGAACTGGAAATACGAAATTAGTCAGAATCCTGTTGCAGTCCCTCTGATGGATTAAAGAGTAGAAATCAAGACTGCGGAACACTTGGGAGAAATGTTTACAAGGTACAACCAAATGGATCTAGTGACCAAATAGACATGGAGGATAAATATTGAATCTGAAGGAGAAGAAAGAATGTGGGACAATTTCTAGAATTCTAGTGCACCTAAAGAAAATGCCTTTTAGTGACAGGAAGCATAGGCTGAAATGGTATTAGGCTTTCAAAAGACTGCAGGTGGTAGGGAGGAAGAGGAAGTGGACAGAGTATTCAGACAGTAAAGTGGGTACAATACCTGTAAAAAAAAAAAAAAGGAAGGGGAAGGAAGAATTCAGTAAGGAGAGTCCCAGGCTACAGCAAAGTCCCCCAGAATATTCTACCAAGGACTCTGGAGAGTCCTTGGGCCAAAATTGCCTGTTGAAAGAGCCTCATGTCTTGGGGGAATAGACCTGCCTTTGTACCCCACAGGGATCCATCACAGGCTGAGAGTGGCCAGCAGGACCTGTGGCCTCAAACTGGTGGATCTCAGCAGCTGGCCTTACCTGTCAATCATGTGCCCCGCTGCAGGGGAATTGAGCAATGCATTTGCATGGCTGCCACGACAGGGAGCTAGACACAAAGATCGCCTGAGCCAGGACCCTCTGTGACAAGATGTTCCCTTCCTCATGGGGGAAGCGTCTGTTTCAATGGTGCAGAAATGAAACACTTGTGTCTTGCCCACTAAATAGGATGATTTTGAAAACAGGAACTAATCTAGTATAGTGCTTGGTGCAAAGTGTTAGATGAATATCTGTGCTGTGAATGGATAAACCAGATTCGAGATAAGCCAGAGTCAGGGGTACTGTTGCAGCAGCAGGCAGCAGTAAGCCAGAAGCCATTCCTTTCTCCTGGAGCTGGGCCAGCTGGGCAGTAAGAGCGCCACCTTGAGCAACCACGAATAATTCATACATCATCCCTCTCTGGCTGGAAAGTACCCTATCTGGCAATAAACAGACATCAAGGCCAGACAGAACATGCTGAGAAAGTCCACTCATGAACTTCTGAAATTGTATTTTCCAAGGTTAACCTAACCTAAAAATTGTATTTTCCAGGGTTAACTTCTGATCACCTGGCCAGTTCCACCAAGTCACGATGACGATTTCATTATAGCAAAATCAATGAAATATACCAACTCTGCCAACCCAGAAGTGTGAAGGGAAAGTAAGGGTCTGAATTTTGTCTCCAATAATAAGGTTCATGCCCTGAGTCCTTACCTACTGCCAGGGGCCGGGGAGGGGCTGTTTAACCCAATGCAAGAATGTGAAGAATGTGAGGAACATTCAGAAAAATGTTCAGTCTCCATGGATCTAAAAGGAATCTCAGAGACGTCCTCCCCGTGCCGTGCTCAGGTGTATGGAGAGAGGGGCGAGACTAATTCTACTTTGTGGTGGCAGACAAGTGTCCGGTCCTAGTCTCCTGGGGCTTCCAGAAAGAGCTTCTCGGCCCGTGGTTGCTGCTTGCCCTGCCAGCTCTCATGGCTACTGTGCCTGTGCTTTGCTCCTACCAACTGCAAACAGGCAGCTTTCAGCCCGTGTCCTCACAGAGGGACACAATCAGGACTCTCACACGCCCCCTGCCATCCCTCTTCTCTACGCCTCCCACCTTCCCAGCCCCTGGAGGTTGGAAGGAGCAGATGGCCCCTGGCATCCTGACCTTTTATACCACCAGCAACAAGGAACTTCAGGATTCACTGTCCCAAGAGCAAGAATCCCTGAGTTACATGCTTCAGACTAAAACCATGACAGACTAAAATACTGACTGCACATATCTGTAGTGCATTTACTCTGCTTTAGGTGCTTAAACACTTCACATACATTGGCTTATCTATCTTCAAACCAAGCCTATGAAGCCCATTTTATACTGAAGGAAACTGAAGTCCAAAGAGGTTAGTAACTTTTCAACAAACACGCATCTAAATAGTGGTGGGTTCAGATGAGAACCCCAATGTGTGTGATTCCGGAACTACCATCTTAGCCACTACATCATACATCTTTCTAGTACAGCAAAAGGTAGTAATACTAGAAAGTCATATACAGTGGTCAGCAGCAGTAGCTGGAGTTGAACACGAACAGATAACATTGATCTTTCACTCATCAAAAGCCAAGAAAATCACAAACACGATGTTAAGATGTTCTACGGAGCCCTATTCATCACCAGTGAGGAAACATAAGGGGCGTTGAATTAAGTAAACAACAGTGGAAGGCACAGAAACTGAGAAATTTTGGAAAGTATTTTTCTTGTTGCGTTGTTGTTTCTTCTTTTTATGGATAATCCGCCTGTACCCAAACTACAGTTCAATCTCATGAATTGTCAAGATCTATGAACTTGGCCCAAGAGGTCAGAGAGCAGTCACATGACAGGCAGCCCCACCAGACACAGAACACAGGGGCCCTGGCGGGAAACTTGGAAGGTCTCATGGGCTACTGTCATAAGCTTCCATTGAGTCACATGTCACTGTCCCTCACAAAACGCCAAAGAGCAGACATGTTGGGAGGGCCCACGTGGCCTTAGGAACAAGTTGTGACATATAACTAGACTCCAAATGCAAGGACAATTCTGATTCCCACCCTCTGACCCAAGGGACCCAGTGGTAGTGGAAGAAAGACAAGTGCTGGTCCCTTGCGCAGCAAACAACTACATTTGAGAGTTAAACAAGGATTAGCAACTCAAGTTCATTCATTGGAAACAAAACAAAACTAACAGGATAGCCCCTTCGAGGGTCTCTCACAGCTGGGCCTGAGGCACTAACTAGGTCATTCCTCCCCATGTGCTGGGATTCAGTGAGGAGCTGGCAGGCGAGGCAGTCCCTTGGTGGGCTTACAAGACCACCTACTCTCCATAATGGCTAAACATTCCATGGCTGTACTTCCAGACACAGGTTACTCGCTCCCACAGACACTCACCCACTACGCACACCCATGTCCCCACACTGACCCCCCAGCTCTGATGATGGCAATCCAAATATGGCTGATGTCCCATAACCAAGTCCAAGGTTGTCCAGGAGCTGCCTCCAAAACTCCCAGAAAGAGGAACCAGGGGAGACGCTGACAAGGTCCTGCCTATGACTCTGATGCCACACTGACTCTCAGGGAAGGCAACTCTGCACTCAGCCACACGGAATTCTACAGTAGGTTTGCGGACACACTCCGGGCTCCAGCAGAATGAACAGTGGTGGGGACTTCAGCATGTTCACTGCCCATATCTGAGTTGGGTAGGCCAGTGTGGGATTTAATGGAGCCACAGGGAACACAGAAGGGAGGGACCCTTCGGAAGCTGGCCAAAGGCACCAAGGACCACTCAACAGCCAAGCCAAACTCTCTACTAAAATACTATGTCTTATCAGAAGAGAGGAAAATCCCCACGCGTAAGGCAGAAGACAGAACCAGGAATGCAGGTAAGGGCTGAAGAGCCAAAAGGACAGAGCCACGCAGAGAAGTTGCCAAAGGAATGGAAAACAGCAACGAGTGTCCAGGCGTGGGTGAGGGGGGACTGCAGAAGAGGGGGTGGATCAGGGTTGGCAAGACAGCTGTCCACCCAGACAGCCTGGATTTCCACAGTTGAACTGCCCTGCGCTGAAAGGAAGTGCCCATTGTATGAACTACAGAAGGAACCGTTTCAGAATCCTTGCGTTTTGGTGAAATGAGAATGAACACTGAGTCATTCTTTCAGGTTTCAACAGACACCTTTGTCAAAGGGAATGTTAAGCTACTTCAAAATTAGGGATTTTCCTGGCAGGTTGAAGAGACAAGCATCGATTTGAAAGCACACAGTTTTGACCAAAAGACTTTATTCTTGCAACTTTGAATATATAAATGAATATATAAACTCCAGAACAATCCCAAAACTAATTTCTGGTCACATATGTCTAAATCCCAAGTGATGTGCTGATCCTTCACGCCATGTCGAGATGTAACAAAATAACAGCAATAACAAGAGCAATATTTATTGAGGGTTTTTCCTCCATGTGGGACTTGAAGCAGTTTTCATGCCAACTCACTCATTCCCTCCAACAACCCAACCTACAAAGTACCATTCCCACTTCACAAATGAGGAAAGGGAAGCAGACATGGGTCAAGGAGCTTCCCCAAAGTCACCCAGTCCCTAAGGGCAGGGCTCAGGATGCGAACACCAGCTGTCAAAGTCTACCTGCTGCCACAGAGATTTCCCGCCTCAGAGCCCGTTACTGTCAGAAACTTGGACTCACGATGGCCCCATGTCCCGAGTGTGTTCACAGGTCTGAGAATTCTGGGTGATCTTAAGCACTTCTATGCTCATTGGGTAGTCACCCCTGTTCAGTGACAGGAAGAAAATCAACGCCTATGTAATTTTATGAAAGTAATTATGATTAAACTTATAATAACGGGTTATATTATTTTTTAAAATAAAACTCTGAAATGTTAAAATCAGATATCCATACTGGGTCATTAACAAATTCCTTGGACTTTTGTCCAATCTAAGAAATAAAAATGCTACTTGAAAATTTACTTCAGCAAAATTCTCCTGGGAAACTGTCTGGTCCAGGGATGTGTGTGCCGGGAGGTTTTTGATTCTTGCTTCTATCTCACCACCTGCTGTGGGTCTGTTAGACTCTCTGCTTCTTCTTCATTCAGCTTTGGTGGATTACATTTCCCCAGAAATTTGTCCTTTTCACTCAGGTTTTTCAAATTTCTTAGCATATTGTTGTTCGTAGTAATTCTTACAACCTTTTCTATTTCTGTGCTTTCAGTTGTAATCTCTCTTCTTTCATTCCTGATTTTATTTATTTGGGTGCTCTTTTTTTTTTTTTTGATGAGTCTGCTCAAAGGCATCAAAGAAAGAAGAAATTATCTTTCGTGATAGTATCAGCAGAACTGGAGAGTATTATGCTAAGTGAAATAAACCAGGCAGTGAAAGACAAATATATGATCTCACATATAAGTGGAACCTAATCAACAAAACAAACAAGAGAGCAAAATATAACCAGACACATGGATATAAAGAACAAAACGGCCCTGGCTGGTGTGGTTCAGTGGATTGAGTGCTGGCCTGCAAACCAAAGGGTTTCCGGTTCGATTCCCAGTCAGGGCATATGCCTGGGTTGCTGGACAGGCCCCCAGCTTGGAGTGCATGAGAGGCAACCACACAGTGATGTTTCTCTCCCTCTCTTTCTCTAAAAATAATTAAATAAAATCTTAAAAAAAAAATGAAAGTAACCAGAGGGAAGGGAGGAGGGGGATAATGGGGGAACAGGGAAAGGTCTTCAAAGAACATGTATACAGAACCATGGACAAAGCCAAAAAGGGGAAGGACTGAAGGAGGGCAATGGGGATGGGCAGGGTAGGGAGGAGTGGTGGGATGGAAATGGAGAGCACTCTACTTGAACAACAATAAAACATAAGTAAATGACTTGAAATCCAGGAAAAAAAGAAAATTTACTTTAGCAACTGGCAAAGCAATGCAAGGACAACAGGAATGGGAAGGAGTGACATCACCGCTACAAGACTGGGTGGAGCCCAGTCTCCAAGGCTCTAGCTGGCACTCTTGTGTGATAACACAATGGATTTGTGGAACTAATGCCTCTGTGGGAACTGCTGCACAATTCACCCTCAGTGACAATCGGAGCTTCGCCCACTGAGCACGTTACACAGTACGCTGAGCTAAAATGTTGGCACACATGGTCTCGTAGATCTCCAAAACCCTGTGAGGCTGGGGGCACAGCCCACTTTTAAAGGGAGACATGACCTCTCAGGTGATTAGAACACCTTGCCTGAGACCAGTTCACACCCAGTCTGGGGGGCTGCAATGTTTCTGCTCTGTCCCACAATTCACTACACTGTTTGCTCACATCTACTTCTCACTATAAGTATCAACTTCACATAAACACTAGTAATCAGCTCATGATGTTGGGCTGACAATTGTGGAAATACAACTCCACGTCCCTATAGCTATAGTGTTCTTACTATATTGACATTGTCCAAAGGTTGTTCTGCCTTCTCCAAAATAACCACAGAGAAGCAGGCCATGCAGGGTGTCCTTCGGTGGGTCAGGTCAGCAGTACCGTCTCTACCCTACTGATGTCATAGAACTGGTGCCTCAGAAGGGTTGAGAAGAGCCCTGTAGTCTTGAACCAGGCTGAAGGTCACCAGACTCCCGCCTGTCCCCTCTGCAAGTCTATGGGGCAAGGGGTCCTTCGGATCCAGGCTTTAGGTGACCAGACTCACACCACAGCAGCTCCACAAAGGTCTGCTTCAGCTTGTTGTTCCCCAGAATGAGAATGAATGAGTGGCCAGCAGGATAAAGCATTATAATTACTTGTCCAATGAACTTCACCATCTCATGGCTTGGTAGGAAATAACTGGCTGATGTCATTGTAAAGGCAAGAAAATAAGACAGAACGAGAAAGAGGAATGAGAGGATAATTCTGATGGCCCTCTTGTGGGCCTCAGTGCTTACATCGCTGGGGCTGGTTCTGTTTTGCCGCATCTGCTGCATGTGCCTCCCCAGGGAGAGGATCAGCAGAATGTAAGAGGCCAGAGATAGAATTAGAGAAGGGAGGTACCACAGCATCTTAAACACATAGGCCATCTGGTATTCACCCATTTGCTTTCTAAGGTGCTCAGTCATATTCCCTATGCCAGGAGTTTCATGGAGAAGAGAATAGTTCTGAAATTCATGAATCAGAGATATGGAACTGGCACAGGATATGAGCAGTGTACCCAGCAGCAGCCATACGACCACCCTGGAGACTCTCCACTTGAGCCAGAGGAACGTGGGGTGGGAGAAACTGGCAATTTTCAGGCAGTAGAGGACACCAAGGCAGGTGGCCAGCCACATGCTCAGATGGTTTGTAAATGTCCATAAAACATCAATAACACTGCTTGCTGGACCATCAGTATAGATGTTGAAAAAGAACACCACAATGATAGAATCAGCCAGGAGAATCCACAGCAGAACAATCCTGGAGAGAGCGAGGGCAGTGAGGATGAAGTCAGACCAAGAGATTCTCTTGCTCTTGAACCAGCTGCTGACATTGACCAACCCAATGAAAGCATTCCCCAGCATTCCCAGAATGAACAGAGTGACGGAGAGAAACAGAAACACTGACTTGGCGAGTCCCAGCATGTCAGCTATCAGGCAGTCCTCGCCTTTGTTCTTTCTGCTGATGTACAGTCGCCTTGTGATTTGAAATTTCTCCCTGTGAACCTAATGCCTGTACCTGCTGGTTTACTGTGCCTTTATCTTCTCTCTTCCCAATTTAGTCTGCTGTAGAGCACAGTGTACTGAACTCTGTTTGGTTCTTTCAGGCTGGTCTGTCCTCTTCACAGGTGACATGGAGGGTCACATTCCATCTATGATCTAAACTCTGCAGCTCTTTGCCAATATGCAAAGAGAGCAGTGTCCAATGTCACGCAGACAAGGAAGGGCCGAGCCATAAAGAAGATGGAGAACTTGGACTCAATTTCTGAGCCACCCAGGACAGAAGGGTGAGTGTCATCACAAGAGTCACACACAATGGAGAGGGAGGACTCAGTGACACACACACAAAAGGGGGAAATTCCAGAACTCCACCATAAGGCTCTATCAAAGTCATGCTGGGGGAAGGCTGAAATCCACAAAACTGGTAAATATGAGTCTTGCCACCAGTGTGCCTCTGGGGTGTGCCTGACTTGAGGGACCCCTAGTTCCTCCCCAGTGAGCCATGCCCTCAGAAATCCTGGCTATCTGAACACCCAAATGCTAGCACTAATGCAGTAGAGCATATAAGCTCTTCAAAATACGAATTTGTCAGAGTGCTTGACCTCTATATTGATAAGTAGTTGAGCTGACAGGGATCCCACACAGATACTACTTGTCAAGCAAAGGTGGCTTATTTATATAAACCTGGCCTTACAAATTTTGACCATGACCAACGGTAATATTTTATATGACTTTTACATATGTGCATGTCACTATGTAAAAAATATACATGTCATGATATAAACATGTATATAATATATGAGGTTTGTCTGGACAAAGTCTAACTATTGTTAATATAGTGAAAACAGTTTGTTTGACATCAATGTACCCTGGAAGCCAAGGAGAATGGACTGGAATGCGCATGTGCAAACAATGACAGCTTCACTGTACTAGTCAGTGGGTGTGCTAGACACTGTTAAGTGAGTATGTGCACTGTGTGGCCCTCACACTGAAAAAAAACTAAGTGAGTAGAGCAACAAATCTACATCAACTTTGCATTAAGGACAGCCAGCCACCATGGAGGAGTAGGTAGATACATGCTGCCTCCTCATATAACCAAAACAACAACAACGAATTTAAAAGGAGGAGAAGGGGGGAGAAGGTACAGAAAATAAGTAGCATAGACAGTAGATAGAAAATAGATGGGGGGGGGCAAGAATAGCATGGGAAATATAGAATCTAAAGAACTTGAGACACATGGACATAAACTAAAGGGGGGGTAATGGTGGGGATGGGGGTAGGGTGGAGGGGAATGAAGGGGGGGAGTAGAACAACTATAACAGCATAATCAATAAAAAAATTTTTTAAAAAAAGCAACCAGAAGTGCCAGAAAATCAAGCTGTATGAAAGTCCAACCACCAAGGAGTTAAAGAAGAAACATTCGTCCAGACTATTAGGAGGGGTAGAGATAGGCAGCCTGGGCAGAGAGCACTGGTGGCGGCTGGAGGACCGGGCAGTCCCACATTTTCCTGCAGATAAACCGGGAGAAACAATGGGGAGTGAGACAGATAGTGCAACCCAGAATTCCAGCATGGGAAAGCAAAGTCTCAAAACCTCTGACTGAAAAAACCTGTGGGAATTTCAGAGGCAGGAGATACTCCCAGCCTCACAGGAAAGTTCATTAGAGAGACCCACAGGTCCTAGAACAATCCCACCTACCTCAGAATCAGCACCAGAAGGGCCCAATTTGCTGGTAGGTAGCACAGAAGTGACTGAAAGCTGGCTGAGAGCTTAGCAAGCATCATTGTTCCTTCTTGGAACCCTTCCCCATATACAGTGCCGGGACACAGCCACATGGGTTGTCCCAACCTGGTGAATACCCAAGGCTCTGCCCCTGACTGTACAACAGGTGTGCAAGGGGAAAAAAAATATGACCCAACTGAAACAACTGATCAAAGCTCCAGAAAAAAATACAACTAAGTGATGAAGAGATAGCCAACCTATTAGATGTGGAGTTCACAACACTGGTAATCAATGTGCTCACAGAATTGGTTGAGTATGGTCGTAAAATAGAGGAAAAAGTGAAGGCTATGAAAAATGAAATACAGGAAAATATACAAGGAACCAAGAGTGATAGGAAGGAAACCGGGACTCAAATCAACAGTCTGGATAGAAGGAAGAAAGAAACATTTGACCAGAACAGAATGAAAAAACAAGAATTCAAAAATATGAGGAGAGACTTAGGAACCTCCAAGACAACTCTAAACCTTCCAACATCTGATCATAGGGGTGTCAGAAGAAAAAGAGAAAGAGCAAGAAATTTAAAACTTATTTGAGGTCGCTGGGTGTAAGGAGAACAATGAAGGAGAACAAATAATGAAGGAGAACTTCCTCAATCTGGCAGACAAAATACACTTTCAGGGTGTCCAGGAAGCTCAGAGAGTCCCAAAGAAGTTGGACCCAAGAAGGAACACACCAAGGAACATCTTAATTACATTAAACAAGATTGAAAATAAAGAGAGAATCTTAAAAGCGGCAAGAGAATAGGAGATGGTTACCTACAAAGGAGGTCCTAGTAGACTATCAGCTGATTCTCAAAAGAAACCTTACAGATAAGAAGGGGCTGGAAAGAAGTATTCCAAGCCAGGAAAGGCAAGAACCTCCGTCCAAGATTGCTCTATCAAGCAAAGCTTTCATTTAGAATGGAAGGGCAGATAAAGCACTTCTCAGATAAGGTCAAGTTCAAGGAGTTCATCATCACCAAGCCCTTATTATATGAAATGTTAAAGGCATTTATCTAAGAAAATGAGGAAGGTAAAAAAATATGAGCAGTGGATTGACAACAAACTCACAACTATCAACAACTGAACCTAAAGAAACTAAAGCAAAAACAAACTAAGCAAACAACTACAACAGGAACAGAATCACAGGAATGAAGATCACAGACTGTTATTAGTGGGGAGGGGAAGGGGAAAGAATGGGCAGAAAGTTACAGGTTATAAGCATAAATGGTAGGTACAAAATAGACATGGGGAGGTTAAGTTAGTATGTGAAATGGAGAAGTCAGAGAATTTATATGTACGACCCATGGACGTGAACTAAAGTGGAGGAATAAGGATGGGGGGAGAGTGGAGGGGAATAAAGGGGAGAAAATTGGGACAACTATAATAGCATAATCAATAAACTATATTTAAAAGAAAAAATTTGCATTAGGCTTGAACATTCCCCCAAGGACCCTGTATATGACAACACACCTGTGCATCAGGTCTCGTGCAGAGTGTTTTGGCGAACCATCAAATCACCCAGGGGACTCGGCCCTCCTACATGCTGGATTTGGCACCTTGTGACTTCTGGCTTTTCCCAAAACTAAAATCACATTTGAAAGAGAAGGGATTTCGGGCTGTCAATAAGATTCAGTAAAATACAACTGTGCAACTAATGACAGTTGGGACAACTGCATGAGGTCCCAATATGCCTACTTTGAAGGAGACCGAGGCATCCTCGTCCTACGTACAATGTTTCTCGTATCTTGGATTTTGTTCAGTAAATGCCTCTGTTTTTCATATTACAAGGCTGGATAACTTCTAGACAGATATCGTATATAATAAATATGTGTATAAATTGTATGTGAGAACCTCTTCTGCATACCCTCCTGCGTGTACCAGGATCCAAGACACATTGCACCATATCACATGGCTTGAGTTGAGGCACAGGTTTTACTGGAATAAGGGAAAACTTACATCCACAGAAGTGGCAGTATGGCTCTTCCTCACCGCCCTGTGAGTGCACAGAGGGCCAGGGCACCGCTGGCTTCGCCGCGTGGTTCTGTCTGTGCTGGGAGCCTCCTCGGGCTCACACTTCGGATGAGCAGAGTGTGAGAGCAACTGTCAGTAAGCTGCTTCATGCTGAACAATCTGGATTTGGGGAGCCAGCAATTACAGTAGTTGCCTGGGGAGGCCAGCTACACAGAACCTGGGGAACGCGGAGCCCATAGGATGTAACAGTCCCAACTGCTAGAAGGAGAAAGCCTCCAATTCTATGGGAACTGAGCTACGTGAAGCATTTTCTGTTGGAAAGGCGCTTTCTGTTGGAAAACTTGGCAGAAACGCTTTTTTCTAGCTTGTAGTGCTAGCGAACTAGACTAAACTCGTAGGGTCATTTCTGGACAAGTTTCCTCATGGTAGTGTAAGTTCCCTGCAATAACGATCACATTTCCCAGTTTGTCCGGGATAGTCCTGAGATGTGCCCGTCACTCCAAATTATTAATAATTCCCCCTTTTGTTGTCTTACTGAATGCTCAGGCCATACAGTCAGTCTTCGGAACATAGCATAACAGAACCTCATCGAATATATATTGAACAAATGAAGTCTTAGAAGTTGGACTTTTGTCTTTAGCTCATTTAACTTCTAATGGTGTTGGTTTTCAGGAAATGTAATGGAAAAATAGGTGAACTTCTAGAACATAGATTCCATCCCTGTGTCTGCCACTTACTCATCTAACATTTCTTGAGCATCTACTATGTGACAGGCACTGTACTCAGGACAGGAAATCATGGGCTAGTCAGCCAGAGACACCTCCACAGAAAGACTGCATGGCAATGTGACCAGCGCTGTAAGACGCAGACACAGAATACATGTGTTGGCACAGGGGAATTTCTGTCTGAAACGGTCATGGACTTGAAAGGAGAGATGGTATTTGAGATAGGTCTTTAACAATGAATGGTTTTGTGGAGAAAAGGGAACCCTAGTGCACTGTTGGTGGGACTGAAGACTGGTGCAGCCACTGTGGAAAACAGTATGGAATTTCCTCAGAAAACTAAAAATAGATTTGCCTTTTGACTCAGCAATTCCACTGCTGGGATTTTACCCTAAAAACCCTGAAACACCAATCCAGAAGAATCTATGCACCCCAATGTTCACAGCAGCACAATTTACAATAGCCAAGT